GCGATTGGCTTAAGACAAGGATGGAAGACCCATCAAGGACTTATATGTTTTCACTTTTTCACCATGTATATTTGTGTTTGGCCAACATTTTTATGGAGCGTCTTGTGTCTTAATCTATTTTTGGATCCGACCCTGACTTAAAGCGATCGCTTAAGGGCGTGTTTAGTTCCACGCCAAAATTGAAAGTTTGACTAAAGTTAGAAGTTTGAAGAAAAAAGTTGGAAGTTTATATGTGTAGAAAACTTTTGATGTGGTGGAAAAGTTGGAATTTTAAAGAAAAAGTTGGGAACTAAACCGGGCCTTAATAGAAATAAAACTTTCCCTAGATCGTCGAAACATTGTACTACCTCCGTCCCAAAATAAGTGCAGTTTTGCACTATACACGTATAACATTTGAACGTCCGTCTTATTAGAAAAATTTATGAAAAAATTAAAAACATTTAGTCACACATAAAGTACTATTCATGTTTTATCATCTAATAGCAATAAAAATACTAATCATAAAAGATTTTTAAATAAGACGGACGGTCAAATGTTGAACGTGAATAGTGCAAAACTGCACTTATTTTGAAACGGAGGGAGTATTTGTAGAGGAGGTTGTCCTAAGTCCACCGTTTCTAACCGAATGCGGTCTTTGATGCGCCCACCTCCGAGCTCCGACGCACCGTACAGGTGGTGGCATCTGAAGTACCCAAGAAGAAGTGCCAAATAATACGACTAGGTGGTGATGGAGACTTGCTGAGCTCTCGTGAAACTGGCCGTTCATTACTTCATTGGACCGACCAAAGACAATCCCCCGACCGGGCGACGAGACCTTGCAACGACGCGCATACGCAGCATCCCCGGGTTGCACCTGCAGTACCGATCGATGAGGCCCGTGTCGGTGTTGGTGGCGCCTGGCGCGCGCGGCAGCATAACCGCTAGTCCGCAACGCGACGCGCGGCAGGGCCGAAACGAGGCCGGAATTCTCGCGCGTCCGCCCGAGCGAATGCATGGCCGCGGCGTATGCTGGTCATCCTCCGCCGCACGCAGGTGGGCCTTGCCGTTACTGTGCCTGAAGAGAACGTTCGGGAGCGTGAGCCGTGAGGTACTAGTAGAGGAGCTGAAAAGACGCGGGTGGTGGCCATATGACGCATTGACGCGAGACACCGGTCCGGTCGCTCTCGCCCACAGCTGTTGCGCGCCCGAATGAAACCTCGGCGCGCAAAGTCGGGCCCTTTCACAGTTTCACCTTCACGCGTTCCTCTTTTTATCTCCACGAATCTAGCTCTCTCGGTTGGCACTTGGCAGGGGGTAAATCTTCCCAAAACAAATTCGCTTATTACACTTCTGGAAGCTACACGTTCGCTACCACGTTAGTTTGTGTGCAGCAAAGGACCCCTTCATGTCAACTTTAGGGTTGCGAGCTTGTTGGCTGGAATACAGAATTACAAAGGTATCATCCGTACCAGCCACGGACGCAACCGCACCCAAGTGAAAAGGGCCGCAGCCTGCAGGAGCCGCGATGAAATCAGCTGTATGCCTGTGTGGAAATGGCAGTTGCTTATTGGCGAAGCAAAAATACTCAAAATCCTGTTCCCATCCCCGTATCCCGGATTCCCAGTCTAGACTGAAGAGGCAGAGCATTCAGTCAAACAGCCTATTGCTCGAGTGCACTCGTCGAAACGGCATTGGTTATCTTCAGACCATATGCCACAGATTATGATAGGTTGCATCCTGTCACTGCCCATACCGTCTTACCCCAATCTGGTACAGCACAAGGATAACTGAATGTACCGAAGCAATCATTCAGAGCATAGTTATCGGGAGGGACCAAAGCCAGTAGACCACTGACCAGAGTCACCCGACCAACCGCTACGAGGTCCAACCGGTGCAAGGAGGATGCATCGCCGTGTCGAGTCGACGTATAAATTCCAGAGACGCCGCGCGCGCGCACCACCACAGACCATCGAGGAAGCGTTAGCTTAACTAAAAAGCTCGCATTTATTCTGGGTGCTCCCCACCACCTTCTCTTCGCTCTCGCGACAGGGACTCGGAAAAAAGCATTCGCCGCTTTGCTTCGACCCAGCCAAGCCTGGGCGTTGCGTAGCGCGCTTCAAGCCAGCAGCTAGCTAGCGCGAGAGCCGTCAGTTCAGTCATGCATCAGCTCGACCGGCTTTGCTACGCCGTCGTCGTGCTCGTCGTGATCGGCGCGACGGTCGCCGAGGCGGCCACCGGCACGTTCATCTACGCCGGGTGCTCGCCGTCCAAGTACCAGCCGGGCACGCCGTTCGAGGGCAACCTCAACTCGCTCCTCGCCTCCATCGCCAACGCGGCGCCCAACGGCGGGTACAACAGCTTCACGGCCGGGAGCAACGGCACCGGGGACGGCGCGGCGGCGTACGGGCTGTACCAGTGCCGCGGCGACCTGGGCAACGCCGACTGCGCGGCGTGCGTGCGGGACGCCGTGGGGCAGCTCAACGAGGTGTGCGCCGCCGCGTACGCGGCGTCGCTGCAGCTGGAGGGGTGCTACGTGCGCTACGACAGCAGCAACTTCGTCGGCCAGCCCGACAACGCCATGGTGTACCGCAAGTGCAGCACCAGCACCAGCGGCGACGGCGACTTCCTCAAGAACCGGGACGCCGTCCTCGCCGCGCTCCAGGGCGGCCTCGCCAACGGGTACAAGGTGAGCAGCTCCGGCAACGTGCAGGGTGTGTCGCAGTGCCTCGGCGACCTCGCCGCCGGCGACTGCACGACGTGCCTTGCGCAGGCGGTCGGCCAGCTCAAGGGCACCTGCGGCACGTCGCTGGCCGCCGACGTGTACCTCGCGCAGTGCTACGTCAGGTACTGGGCCAACGGCTTCTACTTCCGCCCGTCACAAGGTACGCCCAATAGTGCAACACGAATAAGAATTTTTCAGCCTTGCGTTTCAGAGAGCAAGAACCCGAACCAATTCTCCAGCAACCTATCCTGATCAAGTGATCAAGCTTACCATTTGCAAGTTGCCAATTGTCCTAAGCTATCTCGGTTAGATGGTGTAAGTTTAACCGTGTAAAGTACAGTATGGAGAGTCCTTAGCTGAGCAAGTTGTGACGGGAATTGATTCCGATGGGCAATGGGTAAACTTACCAAAGTTGATAGAGAGATAAGGTAGAATGGGTAAACTACATATAGTTAAATTTATTTAGCCACCTATGGCTATCGATCAAATTGCTCAGCTTGCTCAGCTAAGGACGAGAGCAATCACTTGATTGAAGGCAGCCACGCTACTGACAAACCAAAATTTAGCTTGCTGGCTATAGACTACTGCCTGTAAGCCAACAACCCCCCATAACTTACAGACTTATATCTAAGTTACAGTGTCAGTGTCATATATGCAGGAAGCTCCAACGACACAGTTCAGTCATTTTCCTGCAATAAAGAAAAGAGTAAATTTCACAAAACTACACGTTTTATAGTCTAAGTTGCAGAAAACCACACACATTTTGACACTTGGCACTTAAGTACATATATTTTGGTAGTGTAGTTTTACAAAACCACACTATCAATGAATGGATTCACCCGCGAGATGACGTGACTGTTTCACCTAAGACGAGGACATGTCATCTTCGAGTGTGGAACAACCACGTCCTCATCCTAGATGGAACAACCACATCATCTCACAGGTGAATTCATTCATCGATAGTGTGATTTTGTGAAATTAAACTACTAAAATATATGTACTTAAGTGCCAAGTGTCAAAATATGTGTGGTTTTCTGTAACTTGAACCATAAAACACATGTTGTTTTGTAAAATTTACTCTAATAAAATTTGCACGGCTAATCACCTCGGCTTTTCTGGTGGACTGCATGCAAATGACAGTATCATTAGACTCACTTTGGTGGGACATCAGCATTAATCAGAATACCAGATGATCAAGTGGCAGTAACAAAAGGGGCTATTCTTTCCGATCCTAGAAAAAGGAAGAGTAATAAAGATGATTCTAGTACTGAAAAGTTGATGTCAAGGGACAGTAACAAACTAACAATGCAAATTATTCTCTCTGATCCAACAGAGCTGACTTGTTAAATATCCTGAGATTCGTATTTCCTTCAACGTCTCTTGTGCAGGGATGCAAAGAGCTTCCTACAGGACAGTGCTTAAACCGTAAGCTAGATAATTGTCCACTGCTTTTCTTGTACTGGATATACCGATTAGAAAGGGGTTCTCTGACCCAGTGATGGCCACTAAACAAAATTCCAATCAATCTAAGCATATCAAATTTATTTAGGACGGCGAGCGGCGGCTGATAAGCTTAGCTTAGCGCCTTAGCCACTCAACCACTTCCCATGCTGAATATATTCGCGATAAACAAAACGGAAAGGGGCACTCTGCAAGTGACTCTGCTTTTTGTAGTCCTGTACATATGTGCCGTGCTACTCTAATCTCTGTCTGATTTCCTTTGGATTCTGGTGATAATAGTAGGCTTTGTGCTGCAGATTATTCGCAAGATGACGTCGGGCGGACTGTGGCAATAATCGTAGGCATCTTGGCAGGGCTGGCGATCCTCGTGGTGTTCATCTCTTTCCTTAGAAAATCATGTAAGCCCCTTGACTTGGAAATCCTCTCTGTTTTGTTGTCTTTGGAGAGACCACTACTAGATCATAAATTAGTAGGAGAATCTCTGTATCTGCTCCTCTGGCACGTTATCTTTCATTCCATATGCAAGCTTCACTAACCTGATATAAACATGATGTATCACTCTAAACTGCAGGCTAGCTTCGTTTGATGTCTGGAAGGAGTTTCAGTTTCAGTCCTCGCATTCTGTGTGAGAAACTGAGAATGACTTGTAAAGAGAGCTTCGCTTGCATGACGTTGGCAAGAGCTTCATATCGCTTGTAATATCATTTTTCCAGCAATAGATATGTAAGCGAGATCTTGGTAGGGCTATCGGAGCAGCACTACCTTACTTTGGGTCATCGTTTTTTCGTCCACTAATAATTGGCCTACTTGTTTATTATCAAGTCTGAAGACAACATCATGCACATATTTGGTCATAATCATTCTTGGATCGATTGCTAATCGAGTAATTTACAGAGGGCCACATCACACACAAGCCATATTGTTGGGTACAACAAGCATATGACACCTACTGATTAGCCATCACACAAGGGGCCATATTGTTGGGTCGCTAGCTATATTGTTGTCTCCATGGTATATACAGAAGTTCACACAAATGAGGTCTGCAAACCTCCGGGGCCTTTGGTATTCAATTTTACCTGTATATAGCCGGGGATCAAGCACTGTGTCCTCCTTCAGTCATTGGGCTCCATCTCGCCGAGTTGTAACGGCCGCAAGCGTTGATACTTGCTTCCATCATTTTGGCCTCAGAGACACCGTTGTTGCATATGTTTGCAAATGCTCTCATGTATTTCATGCCATACTGAGTGAGTGATCCACATTGAGATTCAAAAATTCGCACCTGACAATTGGCAAGGAACCAAGGATAGCATTGTGCAATTAAGGCCAACAGGCAACAAGAAGACAATAACTCAAGAAATATTTATAGATGGCTTATATCAGAGTTAAAAAAAAGAGCCTTGTACTCACCATCTTCTTCAAACAATCCCAGTTGTCGACTAATGGTTGACCAGAGCTTCTTGCAGCCTCAAGGGCTAAAGGCCCATTTTCAAAACCAAACACAAGCTTCCCGATGAAATCGATACTGCTGTCAAGATGCTTCCTGTGTGCTATGGTGTCTTCTATCTCCCTAAGAGCCCTCAGCTTGTCTTCAGACACCCCATTCAACTGCTCATACTGAAAAAGTAAATACAGACATTAGCATGAAACTGTCATATGCTCTGAAAATATTTCTGGCTTAAAAATTCAGACATCTTAACTTAGTCCTGTTCTCGGAAATGGAGCTCACATAGTATCATGCTATCAGCTGTCACACGTACACCATGTGATGGCCTTTTTAAATACGAAGCATATCACACTATACCCTTTCAAATATGAAATGTATTCCATTATTTCCATACACAAGTAGAGGCAAGAAAGGGTGAAGTGTCCATAGAATAAATATCCAAGGTCATGAGCAATCTCTACTATTATAAAAATTGAAGATGTTTTTGCCGGTATTTTAGTACGTCATCCGTGTTTGAGTCGGTTTTCAAAGTCCGTTCGCTTTTGGAAATACAAATCCGTGTTTGAGTTGGATTTTAAGTTCGTTTGCTTTTAGAAATACATAAGGAGTCGTATAAGAAATCTCTTTAAAAAATCTTGCATGCAGACTCCTAATTGCAGCTCATGATTTTCTTAAAAAAGAAAATATCCAATCAAATTCCCACAGTCAATTTCACCTTAGTTAAACCGTATACAATAATAAGATTAAAATAGCCTTCACCCGTTGCAACACACGGGCATTTGTTCTAGTAGAAAATAAAGATCAGAACTAAACAAGAGAGCCCCAGTTAACAATAAAAGAGATAATGATGCAGAGATAATGATGCCAATTCTTACAGGCGATGTCAACCAAATCAACATGAAAGAAACTACTCTAGCAAATTCAACACCATTATCCTAACAACATAATGTCAGAATGCAATATATGTCAATGCATCAAGGGGCCATGCCTCTGTCCATTCTATTCGGCAGCAAGAAAAAGGAAAATAAAAATCATAATCTATATGTTTCATCCAAAGTATGTAACTTGTGTGTGATCATGTTTCAGTTAACATGCTAGTTTTATATTAATATTCGCCGACCAACTTATAGTAGTGGAAGAACCCTAGTTTACGACAACTCAGTATTATATACATACAATTTGGACTTCTAAAGAAAGGAAGGACGGAAATGAATAAACTGAAGACAGCTAGAATTTACCCTCTTCCACATGAAAAGAAGATCGGCATCTCTTTGATTGACTGTAGCCTTTGGTACTGGCCAAATCAATTCATTTGTGATGTTGCCATTTGCAGGATTAAAACCTTGATAGAGGAAGAGCTTCTCATCCTTGAATGTCTTGTCACCATATTCCATGACATGAGAGCCCTCATTTAACTTATTTGCATTTGATGTTCTTTTTTTAACCTGCCCAAGAAAGCAGTGAGTAGAAAACAATGAATCAATATCGAGAAAGTGCACTCAAGACTTACCAGCTCATACTGATCCTCGATAGTTTCCTTCTTTAGATTATGAGTCTCACTGTCAAAAGGACAAAAACTTTCAGAATCAAGCATCACAGCATAATTGCTACAGTGTAAAAGTATGTGTAAAGCAGCAAAGCAATACATGCACTTGTTATTTGTCACCTGGTTGTTCTATCAATTGATACTTTTCTTCACCTATATTTTACAGGCTTTTCTTTGTTGCCATTATGAAGAACAGTGACTTGTGGATTACTTATGTTTAGTCAGGTGACTAATATTACAGGAAGACATGTTGATACATTATGCCTTGTGGCAGTACTTCTTACCACACAGATATTAAAACATGTACTGTGTATTTGTACAGATGTTGAAAGACAAATAGACAACTTTTGAGAGTGGTCCCAAATCAGAACGCAGAAACAAATTTCCAGGGCGTAAAAAGATAAACTGAGCATGTACATCATAGAGTGGACCAACAATGTTCAGTCATGACTGTAGCTGGTATAAACTATTGTAAGTATTGCAAACTGAAAAGTAAATTACATAAGCCCTTAAGGCATACCTGTGACACACCGAAAAAGATTATATAGAAGAACAGAAATCCACAAGATGTCGCACCTAAGAGATACTAAATGAAGCTTACCTGTCCTCCATCCAAGCAACACTGTACATGTCACCTAGACATGTAATATATTCAGGAGGAGGTGATGGTTCCTCCCCAGGGCAGTATGTTCCCCAACTATTCTCAACTGCATTGGATGCTGTTGTGACATAAATATTAAGATTTTCTGGCATTAAGCCCTCGAAGATACTGCCACTTTCACATGCTTCGACATATATAACCTGCAGAAATTAGGGTTTAATTTCAGTCTAAGTACATCATTTTGGATTATAAAAAATGGAAGGGAAAAGGGGAAAATGATCTTATACCATTTTCGAGTAGCTGTTGGAAGCATGTTTCTTTTGTAACACTTTAATAAAATCACCAGCATAAAGATACGGCAGGTTAGGCATACCTAAAATATGTTAATTGTAAGCTAAGTTCCATACAAAATTAACTAAGAAAAATATCATATGCTGGAGTATGCACCAAGAACTCCAGGACCCCCATGATCTGAGTAATAGATGAAGATGTGATCCTCTGGTTTGCTGTCTATAACCTTCCCACTCCCTCCAGTAACTGCGGTTTTATTGCCCAAGAGAACAGCAAAGAAGTTCTCAGTGGTGACCTGGTGACCAGTGTAGTCCTGTAATGCATGTTAAGTTGATCAGCCTTGCATGAATACAGACACATTCAAATTATATACAAAACTAGCATTAGAGATCCATACAACATGACTAGAAAAAGAAATCGAATTTGAAGACTGAAACTAGAACTACTTGCACCCTCTTTTTCTTGAAACTACAATTAAAGGAAAATGCTACCTTTGGAACACCAGCATAAACATCTCCACCTTTAGGATGGTTGATGATGGTCCCAGGCCTTGGATTGAGAATGTTATGGGCAATGTCATCATACATAAACACCACAATGTTCTCCTCCTTCACTCCTCCCTTCTGCAGAATCTGGTACGCATGGCACACATCGGCCTGCAATGCACCAGGAAACACCAACGTCCATTAAACAAGCACTCATATAATTGTTCAGTTATCTTAAGAACTGTTCGTATTTGATCAATCACACACTAAACAAACATAAATCTTTTTTTCTCGAACGCGCGGAAGGATTGCACGTCAATATATTAGAAGATAAACAAACATAAATCATGCAGGAAGGACAATAAATTATTTGTAGTGTCGTAGTCGTCATATTTATAGCAATTTAAAAAATCTTCGCCCGATCAAAACTGATGTTGCCAACCAATATGCCTCCCACCTAATTATTGACTTAGAGATTGTTCCTCTCTTATCGAAAACATAACTGTATGGAGCTTTCAAAATTTAAGCGAAGCAAGTAGCAATACGGATTGGATAGCCATGCCTCTGAACAAATAGAACATGTCCATAGGCCGATTTCAGTAGTCAGATAGCAGGAGCTTTGGTAGAAGAACATACAGCCTTGGAGCAAGGGTTGCCTTAGGAATTAGTAAAATCTACCACAAATTGGAAGCAGCATTGCAGCAAGAATGTTAACAGTAAACACCCTCCGAATCGGGAAGCGAATCCAAACAAGCTGCAAAAACGCCCACAAGAAAGGGGAATTTGCCAAAAGCTTCAATTTTCCCCCAAAGGCAGTTCCTTTCCTTTCTACTAGTCTCTAATCTCTACCGCCGCCCCCGCCCCTAGACCCTAACACACCCAACTCCATCACCGCGAGCTCACCTGGTGCCGGTAGTTCCCGTAGCCGGAGGAGCCGGCGACGAGCACCGCCCACCTCGTCCCCCCGTAATCCGCCGCCGCAGGAGCAGGAGCGGGAGCAGCAGCCTCAGCGTCGTCCCCTTCCTCCGTCGGCATCCGAATCAGCGGCTCCCACTTCCCCTCCTCCTCCTCCCCATCCGCCGCCGCCGCCACAGCCAGGAGCGCGACGACGAAGCCCCATACCCAGCACCGCGCAGCCATCGTCGTCCGCGACCACAGCACAAGCACAGTACAAAGGTCAAGCAGCCAAACTACTCCGAGTAGTTGGTGAGACGCGGCCTTAAGTACACTCCCGAGTTAGCGTGCCACGAGGACACGTGACCCGCGGCACGTCGTCTCGCCATCGCGGCAGCTTTCGCTCGCGCGCTCCTCGCAAGTGTGGTCGCGTGGATCACGCGGGGGCATTGCGTGGAACAAACTTGTGGTTTCTTCCATTTATTGTACTTCGTGATTTGGAAATCCCATGGCTTGTGGCCGCAGAACGTGTACAGTCCCGGCACGGTGAACGGGAGGGGTTTGGGTTTTCGCGAGATTTCGGTTGCAAAATGCAAAACACCGCGCGGAGATCGCATTGTTCCGTGCCTTGATGAAGGAGAAAGAAAGATCAGAAACAAGGGAAACCGAAGCTGAAAAGTCTGAAACTCTGCTGTGTTTGGGAAAAAGGAGCGGAGCTCCAGAACCGTGGCAGGTGGACTTCGTGCTTTTGCGTGAGATGATATTTCGTGATGGAGGAATGATCACGATCAACTCGCGTGTTACATGAGACGATTAGGAGTAGGTGCCTTGCTGCTGCTGCTGCTGTTTACCGGTGGAACGTCAAAAGTTGAGACCTTTCTACTTTAGAGGCCCAAATGAAATGTGTGAAATGGGAATTGTGGACGTGACGTGGAAGTCCAGACTACAGTCTACAGAGTTGGGAACATGGCCCATCAGTACTTTGGTCTGGGGCCTTCAGAATATAGGCCGTATGGGCTAGGAGGGACTGGTCAACTGGATGTGGATGATAAGGGGACCAAAAATGAAATTGGGCCCACACACAGGCCACGAGCCCATAAAACCATTGACTCAATCAAACTTGTGTGTTGTAAAAGGGCTCTCTATATGTACTGTAGCACAGAGTAGTATGCAGCATGCACGACACACATCTACCCTATAACTCACCAACTACACTCCTACAAACCCCATTCATCAAATCCGACGGTCCAGAATCATCTGATCCAACGCCTCAAAATCGTTGCGGACCCTCCCCTCCGCACGCGCTCCTCACGCGCGTCCTCCTCTCCCCTTTCCTCACGCGCATCCCCCCAATCACGCTCCTCACACGCATCCTCCTCTCTCTCGCACGCCACCGACGCTGCACCCTCACGCCGCCGCCATCGCTCTATCCAGCGCCATCAGCCATCGCGACGTCGCCTCCTCTCTCTCGCATCGCTCCATCGCCCTATCCAGCGCCATCCGCCATCGAGACGCCGCCACGCCAACAACGCCCATCCCTCTCCCGTCGGCCAGCGTCACCAACGTCGTCGATCTCCTCCGCGCCTCCGCCCGAGCCGATCTCTCCCGTCCGCATCGCCACCGACGGTCGCTCACCGATCTGCTCCGCTAGCGTTGATCTCTCCCGTCCGCATCGTCACCGGTGGCCACCTTTGCCGATCTCCTCTGTGCCCAAGGTAAATTTTTGCTCACAAGAATTTGACCAGGTTACGATCTGAATGAATTCCTGCTTTTTTTGAGTTCTGATTTTGGTAATGCACATAGAATAGTGTTACAGAGAATTTGGTAATGGAGATAAAATAGTGTTGCAGAGCCCTTCTTGTACAACTAGACCCCATCCATCCCTTTGTGTCATCATGTGTATACTACAAATTATGGGAATCAGCTAAGTTCCATTGTACTATTGCAACTGGTAATAGGATTTTATTACTGTACTCCATTTTGCTACGAGTTGCAAAACAGGATGGTGATACAGGTAATCAAATTTATTTGAGTGTCTTTTTTCCACCGTCATGAGATAGGTACTGCTACTTCTGCAATTTTTTCCTATATAGCAACAACCCAGTTATCTGGATTCACTACTTATATTTGTGTAAGTAGGTAATGGGGTGGGTAGATAAATATGTTTATGATGAACTTCAAACATACGAACTGAATTTTTTGCAAACGACTTCACATATTTATTTGTGATAAATCTCCTCTCACATAAGACAAACAATTAGCAATATATGGAGCATCAGCATGTACTGTATTTGATAATTTGTTCCCTTTTTTCCCTTTACAGGACAGAGTGAAATTGCTAACCAGCTTGTGGGGTAACTACTCCATTCCAAAAGACAACCCATACACTGATGACAGTGACTTAGAACTAGAAGTTTGGGCATTGGGTCTTAGAAACCCGTGGAGATGCAGCTTTGATTCCGCGAGGCCTTCCTACTTCTACCGTGCCGATGTTGGTCAGGTAACATTCAGCATTATATGAGCAACTCATGATAATTTGCTACTTTTAAATTTAATACTATTGGTTAACAACTGATGCACTTAAAGTAGTGGTTCTTCATCAGTTCTTCTTTTTAAGGAAATTGTCCATTTTACTCCATAAAGTATGCTATCAGTCATCAAGTGCGCTGGCTTGCCAACATCAGGTCACTGCCTTCATACAGTGTTTCTCAATTCCTGCATTTTGTTTCCACCTCTCCCTTGCACGAAGCCCTCTGCTATCCACCAGTGTACAACCTGGGAGCAACTTTTTCAGATGTGCTGGAAGGTAGATGTAGCTAAAGGTTAAGGATATTCCTGATAGGTTCTACGCTTGGGTTGTTGCTTATCTCCCGGTTAAGTTGTTTATATTTGCTCCTAAATACCACTTCGCTCTTGTCACCAACAAACATCGATTCTTCATATTGGATTGGAGTTACAAAATTAGCATTTCAGTTTGCAATACATGACAGATTCATGTGTTATATCGACTGAAATTCATATGTTAGTTCTGAGCTCAATAATGTACACAATGTTGGAATGCATAGTTGTTTGGCGGGCTTTGGCAAGGGTTGTTTCACTTCTGAACTTTATTCATTTATTTACCCCATATTTGCTATTTAGAGAAAATATAATGATCTCTATTTTGACATGTGATGGAATAAATTTGTGCTTTGGGCACTATAAGTGTTTATCTATGGCTTGCTTTTTGAAGCTTTATGCCTATGCTTTGAAAATTAATGTATGGAGTATATTTGTGATATAGTCAAATTGATGAGGAAAATCATTAAATTTTAGAAATATATTCTTTTTCTTATTACATTACCTTAATTCAGCACCTAAAATCAACATCATCTTGCTTGTCTTGCTTGGATAGTTTGGTACATTATACAAGATTGCTGCATATTTTTTTTAATGAATACTTGCAGAAAACTAATGTTGTTGTTTCAGATTCAGGCATTCAGCACATGGTATATTTCAGAATATGTATATAGCTATGTTAAAATTTCAGAATGTAAATAGGCATACATGGAAGCACATGATAAGGCAGTTTAATTTATAAGTTACCATGGTTAAGATTTTGAAAGTCTAAACTTTGGAATATTCATTGATAAAAGTTAATTCTGAAAGTCTTAACTTTGGTTTGAAAGTCTGAAAATCTAAAATTCCGAACATGCAGCGGCTAATATCGATTGATCAATTGAGGCGCGGCCCGTGCTGCCAAAGTGAATCGTTCCAGATCATCTGGTACTATATGTGAACTGGAAATTTATTTTGTAAACTTTCACCGCCATTAGCTTGAGGTAGATGACACCAAGCTGAAGCATGTTGGACATTTTTGGTCAGCTTAAGTACTTGGATCATTTAATTGGCTGAAATGCACATGTAAATTTGTTTCCCAGATCCAGATCCATTAAGTTTATAGTACTTTCTGATCGGCGAGAAGACCTTGGTGACTGGGTGAGCGACAAAGCCACCTGCAGACTCAACTTATGTCTTTGCTTTGTATGTTCTACTGAGGGAAAGAAGATGCAAGGTCTCTTAGGGTTTAGGGTTAGGTGATCAAATTCTCTTGGGCCAGGTGATCAAATGAAAAAGGGAAATGCTTTAAGACTGAAGTTCTATCGTAAACCAGATATAGATCAAATATTAGATGCTATGGACTTCTATGTCTATGCCTGATTGTGAAGTTGTACAATAGGCTTGCATTGTTTAAAATCAAAAGATAGAAAAGTCACGATGTTATTTTACTCACATCGCTATGTAATTAACAATATAATAATTGGCTCTGTCATTCTTTTTTTTAAGAATGATAAACTTTAATAATTTAATTTGCATTACTAAATATTATCGTAGCGTTAGCACGGGTCAATTACTAGTGCAAATAAGATGAATTCCCATCCAATTCACTGTTTCAGTTTCACCATGCAAATTCATGTTGTTGCATACGCCGATCCAAACATGAGGCACATTTACATTTGGTTCACCGCCGGAATAAACTGTACCATTTTTTTTGCTAAATCTGTAGTATTATCAGATTTGGTAAAGACAAAAACATTTCGTTTGGGTTGATCTGAGTTCTTAGCAAATTTCGGTGTAGTTTTATATGTGGAAGGTTCCGGATTTCAGTATGGTAGCATGACAAAATTGTGATGGCAAGAGCTTATCTGCCTTCTCTTTATGTCAAGATTAAATTCAGCAACACTAAAATTTGATGATGTATTTTACTATTTTTACAACAAACCAAACATAGCTATGATTTTAATGTTCTCCCAATTGCATCTTCAGATCTTCTACTGGTAGTCGCCGTGCAATCTCGCGAGTTCCCGGCTTTCTCCCACCCTCCGGAATCTTCCAGAACCGTTGAGATCGCGCGACTCTTGAGAACCGTGACCTTTATATACTTTCTCCCCCTCGACGCCCCCGTCCAAACACGCACCAAGCCACCAACCGATTCCGATCCAACGATCTCGATCGCCCGCTCCGCTTCGCTTCCCGATCGATCAGCCCCGCCGCCGCGCGCGATGGCCGACGAGGCGAAGGCCAAGGGCAACGCCGCGTTCTCCGCCGGCCGCTTCGAGGAGGCGGCGGCGCACTTCACCGACGCCATCGCGCTCGCGCCCGACAACCACGTCCTCTACTCCAACCGATCGGCGGCCTACGCCTCGCTCCACCGCTACCCGGAGGCGCTCGCCGACGCCGAGAGGACCGTCGCGCTCAGGCCCGACTGGGCCAAGGGTTGCTCCCGCCTCGGCGCCGCGCGCCTCGGCCTCGGCGACGCCGCGGGCGCCGTGGCGGCCTACGAGAAGGGGCTCGCCCTCGAGCCGTCGAACGGGGCACTCAAGGACGGCCTCGCCCATGCCCGCCAGGCGCGCCGCCCGGCGCCGGCGTCCGGCGCCGGCGCCATCGGCAAGGTGTTCCAGGGCCCCGAGCTCTGGAGCAGGATGGCCGCCGACCCCACCACGCGCCCCTACCTCGACCAGCCGGATTTCATGCGGATGCTGCGCGACGTGCAGCGGAATCCCAGCAGCCTCAACAACTACCTCTCCGATCCCCGGATGGTCCAGGTGCTCAGCCTCATGCTTAACCTCAGGCTACCGAACAATGACGCGCCTCCGCGGCCGCCGGCGCAGTCGACTCCGCCGCCTCCGCCGCAGCAGCAGCAGCACCAGCCGGAGACGAAGGCGAGGGAACCTGAACCCGAGCCCGAGCCGATGGAGGTGACAGAGGAGGAGAAGGAGCGGAAGGAAAGGAAGGCCGCAGCGCAGGAGGAGAAAGAAGCGGGCAACGCCGCTTACAAGAAGGATTTTGAGACGGCGATCCAACACTACACAAAAGCCATGGAGCTCGACGATGAGGACGTCTCCTACCTCACCAACCGAGCCGCCGTTTACCTTGAGATGGGAAAGGTGAGTGTTTCTTTTTGTACTGTGCTAATTGTTGTCCTCCATTGATTTCTTTCGAGAAAGTTCAGATTATTGTGTGCTTTGGTGAAGAATTAGTACTTCCCCATGAAATCGATTAATGTGATTACTTACCTAGAGGTTTAGTGTGATTATACTTACCTGGTTTAGCATATACCAGCAGTTCTAGATTGCAGTGCTCTAATTTTAGACGACAGCCAATTGAATGTTGTGAGGAAAGGAATATGCGTTTGCTATGCTTGCACTCAGCAGCACAGGTCGAGATGCCTTGCCTCGTTTAAGAAAGTGATGCATTGTCTGTTTCAAATAAGAAAGTGATGAATTATAGCCATGTAAATGATTGTGATGCAAGGGGCGGTTCAACTATTGGATCTTTTAGCGTTATATATGTTGTAATGTTATGTCCTAAAAGCTAATATGCCAATATTTTCCCCAATTTGCAGTATGATGAGTGCATCAACGACTGTGATAAGGCTGTTGAGAGGGGAAGGGAACTTCATGCTGATTTCAAGATCATCTCTAGGGCACTGACCAGAAAGGGAACTGCTCTTGCTAAGATTGCTAAGTGCTTCAAAGATTATGATGTTGCCATTGAGACTTACCAAAAGGCTCTGACTGAGCACAGAAACCCAGATACCCTGAAGAAACTGAATGATGCTGAAATAGCAAAGAAGGAGCTAGAGCAGCAAGAGTACTATGATCCAAAAATAGCTGATGAGGAGCGAGAGAAAGGTATGTTGTGGCAAATCTGTTATTATCACTGTGTTTCTTGTTGCAGGTGGTGATGAGGATGAAACTTTGATTTTGGTCCACTCATGTGCAGGTAATGAATTCTTCAAGCAGCAGAAATACCCAGAAGCAGTGAAGCATTACAGTGAAGCTCTCAGGAGAAACCCCAAGGATCCAAGGGTAAATTCTTTGTTCTTACTCAATTGCTTAAGCACAGCAGCTGTTTAAAGCCTGTACTTCACTGCAATGTTGGTTTGCATGAGTACATCTGACGGAGAACAGATTGGATAATGTGAATTGGTCAAACATCTGGTTTTTTTTCTCCATAGTATTTGAAAATGCTAAGCATGCTTCCTCATTGTTGTTCTATGAATCTATGGTGGGTTTGGTCTCAGTGGTTCTAAGCTTAGGTTACATGGACTGTATTTCAGGTATACAGCAACAGGGCCGCCTGTTATACCAAGCTTGGAGCAATGCCTGAAGGTCTCAAAGATGCTGAAAAATGCATTGAACTAGATCCTACATTCTCCAAGGGATACACAAGGAAAGGTGCAATCCAATTTTTCATGAAAGAATATGACAAAGCACTGGAAACCTATCAGGCCGGCCTAAAGCATGACCCGAACAACCAGGAGTTGCTTGATGGTGTTAGGAGGTAAGCAATGCTTAGCGAAGGAGATCGAGCACTGTCGCCTTTCCACTGTGCAGCGTCCTTACTTAACTGTGCCCGTCTTTTTTCAGATGTGTCCAGCGGATCAACAAGGCTAGCAGAGGGGAACTGAGCCAGGAGGAATTGCAAGAAAGACAGGTAAGGCTCTCCTTCCAGTAATCCAGTTCCAACCACAGTGGTGCCCTAGGTGCATCAACTGGGGCCCTGTTTAGATCTCTGACAAAATTTAACACCCTGTCACATTGAATGTTTGAATACATGTATAGAGTATTAAATATAGACGAAAAAATTAACTAATTACACAGATTGCGTGTGAATTGCGAAATGAATCTTTTAAACCTAATTGCGTTATGATTTGACAATGTGGTGCTACCGTAAACATTTGCTAATAACGGATTAATTAGGCTTAATAAATTCGTCCCACGGTTTATAGGCGGATTCTGTAATTTGTTTTTAGACTATGTTTAATACTTCAAATGTGTGTCCGTATATCTGATGTGACATACCAAAACTTTACCCCTCTGGACCTAAACACAACTTGGTTTGGTAAGATAAGAGCAGTGATGTTAACTTAGTGTCCGCTTCTATTTTGCAGAACAAGGCTATGCAGGACCCAGAAATCCAGAACATTCTGAAGGATCCTATCATGCAGCAGGTAAACATAATTAGATGACCTGTTGAATTGAAGTGTTGGTAGGTGATGGATTATTCTGGTAGCCTAGTGACCATCGTAATGCTGTTCTGCAGGTGTTGACCGACTTCCAGGAGAATCCGAAGGCTGCTCAGGCGCATCTCAAGAACCCCGGAGTGATGCAGAAGATCCAGAAGCTAGTAAGTGCAGGGATAGTCCAAATGAAGTAGACATGCTGAAAGGGCCAGGGATAGAGTAATCTGATCGGTGTGCCTGGAAACTTCTGAATGCAAAATTCGTCGTCGAATTTTTGTACAGTACAATCGTGTTTATGCAAATTCCGATTGGTCATGGCTGAGCCGAATTTCCATACTGCTGATCTTTTACTTTTGACATGACCCTATAACCGATTTTAACCATTCGTCTTATTGATATATACATATTTATTTTAAATTTTTTAATAAGATGAATAGGGAAATGTTATAAAAAAATTAATGGTGTCCTATGCAGAAAAATGCCTAATCAGTCACCACGACCTAAAAGTCGCGATCAGAAAATAATTTGTGTAAAACTTTCATATACGTCTTCAGTGTTGACCATATGTTTATTTTAAAAGTCGCGATCAGAAAATAATTTGTGTAAAACTTTCATATACGTCTTCAGTGTTGACCATATGTTTATTTGTAAGTGTGTTTTTAGAGAAGGGTATTTTTACCCGGTCTCTACATCCAACCGGATATATGCATGCTTTTAAATAACCTAGTCTGAAATTCGCTCCTACGGAGATTTGAACTCAGGACCTTAGGGTGCTACTCAAGTCACTGCAACCACTAACCTACATGCCCTTTCACATGTTTATTGTAACCGTAATGGTTTATTAGCGATCAGAAAATAATTTGTCTAAAACTTTTATATATGTGTTTTTAAGTCAATGTTGGAAAAAAAACTACGTTAAAATATCTTAAAATTAACTTTAAAACTAAAATTGTAAAATTTTAATTTGGCTTTGGTTTGATTTTTTAGAGCAACCAATGGAGTTCTACACGCGCTCTCTTGGCTTAGTTTAGGAGGTGTTCTTCTCAGCCTATATAGGTTTAAGAATTTTACGTATCGCTGCTCTCTAACTAGTTACATTTCTCTAAAAGCAGCTTTATATGCCATTGCTTAGATAACTTATAATATGTTATAATATATGCTCCCTCCGTTCATTTTGTAAGTTGTTTGAATTTTTTTTCTTAGTTAAATTTTTTAAGTTTGATTAAGTTTATAGAAAAATATACTGATATTTTCAATACAAAACAAATATAATATCAAAATACATTTTATGCTAAATTTAATGAAACTAATTTAGTGTTGTATATATTTGCTAAATTTTTTTCTATAAACTTGGTCAAATCTAAAGAATTTTGATTAAGAAAAAAGTCAAACGACTTATAATATAAAACAAAGAAAATATAAATAACTGCACACAATCTATCCACACCATTGTAACAAGCAGAACGAAACGCAGAAGGGCAGAAATAAGAGGACGTCTCAGCTAGAGCAAGGAAACAAAAATTTTATAGGTACCGCTTTCTCTTCTGAAAACCTTAACAAGGCAGTCTTCAAAAAGAAGAAAAGAACTTGACAAGGCCATTATCAGGTCCAAAACAATGGCAAACAATATCTCCCCGAGGGGCTTGACGCTACAAAGCTACATACACTTGGATGTCCTATTATCCACCTGCTCCGGTGTCGCCGTTTAGTATATCTACCAAAATCTGGAAAAAAAATTAAGCAGTACTAGCTTCCTCCTGTTTCGCCGCAGAGAGCTCGTTCTGGATGTGCTGTGGGACGACGTCGAACTTGGCGAGCTGCATCGTGTAAGACGCGCGCCCCTTGGTCATTCCTCTCAGCGTGCTGACGTACTGGAACATCTCCGCAAGTGGCACGAAAGCATCGACAACCTGCATCAAATAATAATATACCACTGTAAGTCTCAGGCCACATTTCAACTGTATGGCTAATAAAGGGAAAGGATATATTTTGTGCTACCTTCAGGCCACCAGGTTTATCCCCGAAGCTATTGACCTGTCCTCTTCTGGAGTTCAAATCACCAATAACATCACCCAAATGCTCCTCAGGGGTTATCACCTCAACTTTCATTATAGGTTCCAGGAGTCTTGGACCAGCCTTCCTCAATCCTTCACGGAATGCACCTCTGGCTGCAATTTGGAATGCCAGGACACTTGAATCAACATCATGGTATGAGCCATCAACCAGCACCGCTCGGAGGTCCACAACAGGGTAACCAGCAAGGACACCATTGGGCAAGCTTTCCTCAATTCCCTTCATCACGCCTGGTACATATTCTTTTGGAACTGCCCCTCCCTTTATTTCACTCTTGAATTCATACCCACTTCCAGCCTCCAAAGGCTCGAATCGCACAATAATGTCCGCAAATTGCCCAGATCCACCAGACTGTTTCTTGTGAACGTATTGTACTTCTGAAATCTTGGAAATACTTTCACGGTAGTTGACTTGCGGAGCTCCAACATTTGCTTCAACCTGTGCAGTTGCATATTTAAGAGCTCAAGTTAAAACTCTTGGGTGCAATTATGAATACAAAAAACTAGTGGAATGCTTCTATTCCTAGGACTTTAATAAGATTATTTGGTGAGATAAGTGGCATAATTGAAGAACCGAGCTATTAAGTCATAGAACATAAATAAATAAGCTAACCAAAAGAACATTTTACTATCTTATCAGGTAGTTTCTCTTAGCTTAGCTGAGGAAAAGGGAAAATCTAAGCACATAGGAAATGGTGTGGTTTATAAGCACAATAACAACCGTTCAATATGATTTGCGCATGAATGTAGAGTAATTACGTGGGGGAGTGGGGCATGTACAGAAACAATAAAGCTAATCAGAATACTTACCCTGAATTCTCTCTTTAATCTGTCAACAATGATGTCAAGGTGCAATTCTCCCATTCCTTCAATAACAGTCTGGTTGGTCTCCTCATCTCTAGAGAAGTGGAATGATGGGTCTTCTTGAGCAAGCTTGATTAGTCCGGTTGCCATTTTGTCAGCATCAGCTTTGGTCTTTGGTTCAATAGCAACTTTAATGACAGGATCAGGAAATTCCATGCGTTCAAGCACAACAGGCTTATCTGGGTCACTAAGAGTTTCACCAGTAATTGTATCTTTGAGACCAGCAAGAGCTACTATGTCACCTGCCACAGCAACTGTTATATCTTCCTTACTGTTCGCATGCATCTCTAGAAGCCTTCCGATTCTTTCCTTCTTATCTTTGTTTGCATTGAGAACATATGAACCAGCAACCAGCTTCCCAGAGTATATGCGAACAAATGTCAATGATCCCACAAATGGGTCAGTCATGATCTTGAAAGCTAACCCAGAAAATGGCTCATCATCACTAGGCTTTCTTTCAAGGATCAGTTCAGGGTCCTCTGGATCAGTGCCCTTCATTGGTGGTAGGTCAAGTGGTGATGGCAAGTAATCAACAACAGCATCAAGCAGTGGTTGGACACCCTTGTTTTTAAAGGCCGAACCACATAGAACAGGAACAAAGCTGGCAGATATTGTTCCCTTTCGGATCAATCTCTTGACAGTTTCCTCGTCTATTTCGCCACCTTCTAGATAAGTCTCCATAACATCATCATCCAACTCTACAATAGTTTCCATCATCTGAGCTTTGTAGTCATCAGCCATCTCTTGGAGATCAGCAGGTATATCCTGATAAGAAAATTTTGCACCAAGTTCCTCTCCTGTCCATACAATAGCCTTCATCTTGACTAGATCGATAACTCCTTGGAAATTGTCCTCTGAACCAATGGGCAACTGTATTACCAAAGGCTTCGCACCTAAATTTGCGATTATCATGTCTCTAGTTCTAAAGAAGTTAGCACCAAGGCGGTCCATTTTGTTTACAAAACATATTCTCGGAACCCCATATTTATCAGCTTGGCGCCACACGGTTTCAGATTGTGGTTCTACCCCAGCAACACTGTCAAATAGACATATAGCTCCATCCAACACCCTGAGAGCACGCTCAACCTCAAGAGTGAAGTCGACATGCCCAGGAGTATCGATGATGTTGATTCTATGTTTGTTCCAGAAAGCAGTAGTTGCTGCAGACGTAATGGTTATTCCTCTCTCTTGTTCTTGCTCCATCCAGTCCATCGTAGCTGTTCCCTCGTGGACCTCACCAATTTTGTAGTTCCTTCCTGTGTAGTACAAAACACGTTCTGTAGTTGTTGTCTTTCCTGCATCTATATGTGCCATGATGACCGATATGTGGCGGGAATGCCATTGCAAAGGCACTTGCCGATGCTGTATACAAAAGTAAAATGATGGTGCAATGATGTGAATGTGAATGCGATGAGGTTGAAGAAAGCCATGTGAATTTGATTGTTGGTTGAAAACTGTGAATCTACAAAATGAAAAGTGAAAAGGAATCCAAGAGACTTGGCTTCCAGATCTTATGTAATTAACTTAATGACAAACTTTACTGCAAAATAGAAACTCACTTCTGCACAATATTCATTAGGAGATGCGTAAAAGACAGCAATTAAAAGAAAGTAAAGCATTTATTCAATATGTTGCATCGACAAGATAAGTTACATGCATACAAGTCTATTGTGTAAGAGCAAAATGCCATCGACCATATTCTTTTTGCTAACTACACAAACATGGAGAGGACATTCATTTAATTACATAGCTATGTGTATATTCTATTTTAGATGTTTATGGAGCCATATCCTCGCATCTCTCTATTCCTTGCTTCTCAGTTTGTTCTATTGGGAAGATATTCTAGTACTACAACAACCATTTACAGAAATCAATGCCATGAGTAGTTATGAGCTCCAGAAGAGCTTCTAAACCAATTACTCTTTAGTTAGAAGCAACTTCATCAATGGTTTATCTAACAAAGCAGCAGCCCATCAACAATCCTAAGCACGGTCGCCAGCATGCTGCCTCAACCTTCTCTTTTGCAAAACTAGTAGTAGCAAAAGATCAACTAATACACTATCCAATAGAACACTCCTAAATTCTATAATACTGCGTGATAATCATCTTCAACTCTGAGAAAGAACGAAAGATAATCCTTTTGGCCCATTTCATCGAACACCGTCAGTGCACACTTTACACTGCAGACCATCATCCCCACGTCCAGGGTCAAAAAAAAAAAGAACTGGAACAAACACAGCAAGTAACGCCAGACTGTGGCTCGCTCACCATTGCCGGCCATGGCGACGACCGATAGGCGCGGCCTGCGCGGGCGCGGGCGCGGGCGCGGGCGGACGCCAGCCGCCACCGCCGCGGCGTAGCGGGAGCGGGACGAGGCGGGCGACGGCGCGGGGAAGGGGCGGTGGCCGAGGAGGAGGCGCGAGGCGGACGCGGCGGAGACGGCCGGCCGGCGCGCGGGCCCGGCGGCCCGCAGCACTGGCGCCTCGGTTGCTGCCATGGCTGTCGGCGGGCGGAGGTGGCCGGCTTTTCTCGTCCTTTGCCTCTGCCGCGAGCGCTAGCTCTAGCTCTCCCTCCCTTCGCCTTTTGCCTTAGCCTGCCGCCTGCGCGCGCCGCGGGAGCGTGCGGATGTCGTGGAGGGCTTTATGCGCGCGAGCTGCTGCTGCTGCTGCTGCGGATGGTGGCGATGATGGTGAGGAGGATAATGTCAGCCGCGGGGCTGCGAGGATCGTTTCCCGTCTCACGTTTTGGATTGGCGCCTCATTTCCGGAGACTGCCCGCCTAACTACTCCTTTTTCCCTTTTCTTTTTTTTTCTTTCCAGAATTTCCAGTCCTACCTGGCTACCTGTTCGAATGATTATGCGAAATAACATTATTCCAGTGAAGACACTGTATGATATTTCCAATAGCCAAGCCAGACTGTGAAATAAAAAAAAAATATTTTCTCTTGTCCTCAATTTAGTACTGTATGTTGTAATTTCGAGGTTATGACTGCACTAAAATGCTATGTCATCCTAGAACGTCTTTATATCCAAGAAAAAACATGAAACTATGAGAATACAACTCGATTGTAAACTGACATGTTGTACTGCAATTCACGCACAGGTAATCAGCAGCGATGGAGCAGTAAGTAAAACAGAGCAGCATAAAAAAGTGCAGGCAAAGCAGACACGTCTCTGCATTTTCGACCACGAGCCCCATGGGCCATGGCCCATGTACACAGGTTTGGACGCTTCGGATGTCACCACACAGAGCATCTCACGGCTCCACCCGTCCAACGTGTCCGCGCCCCGCGCGCAGTGAGCCAGTGACCCACTCGCGCCCACTGCCAGTTTCTCGGTCTTTTTCACCCAATTTCGCGTGTTTTCGCTTGGCAAAATAGTACTACTATAGTTGCCACTTTTTTTACGGCGTACGCGTGCCACCGGATGCATTCGTCCGACATTTTGATGGCCTGCTATCAGGCCACGTAGTTGGCAGCTCTACCTGAAGCGAGAGAAATTAAGCCTGGTAGATACCGGAGAAGCCACGTATCTCAGTTCGATGGGAACTTTTAACGGGTGACGCTCACGGCAAGAATATACAGATTATACCGGTTGAGATACCGTCCGGTTGACAACGTACATCTGCATGCTGAGGCTGCAGCACCACAAGATCCATGTTTCAGAATCTCTCGTGATGGTTACAATTTTCCCTTTTGATTTTGGCAACTGAATTCGCAGCAGCAAACCGGTTTATATATCGCTCTCTTATGATTATTTTTAGACGTGAAATAGTCTACCATGAACGATGCTTAAAAGTCGGAATAAGTTTACTTTAGATCCATTCATTTGTCTCGGTGGTTTGGATGGCAGTTTCGACGAACGTGGCACCTGCGTGACTAGTTTGACTTGATCCTCGTCCTACGTAACGGTAACGTGGCATTTAAAACAGAATAGCGGAACCCACATGTCAGTGGGTCTCACCCTCCTCTTCTCCATGGACGGCGGCGCCTTCTTCTCCCCTCTCCTCTTATCACCGTGGGTTGAAAGGGAGGAGATGGAGACCTTGCTCCTTTGGTCATAATCAATGGAACTCGCCATGGGCGTCGTCGTCGCCGCTTCCCGGATCGACGAGACGACGCCACGTGTTCTGCCGCTAGCCTCCACCCTTCCTTGACCCTTCCCTCCGACCAATCTCTCTCCCTTGTCCCCAACCTCTTTGCCTGTCTCCCCCCTCCACCACTCCCTCCTCGTCAATGTCGATGTCACCATCGCTGCCCCTAACTCGCAGCCACCGCCGTCTTGATCTGGTCCGCCCACCGAGACTGCTTGAGAACGAGCAGGTGAGGGAAGTGGAGGTCGAGGATGACGCCAGGGGGGAGGGAAAGAGTGCGGGGAGGCTAGCTAAGGATAGAGCGGTCAGCGAGGCTGAAGCGGACGATGATTGTCTCCCCCTCAACCACCACTCCCTCCTCGCTGATGTTACCGCTACGGACCCCAACTCACCACCACTGTTGCCTTTGATCTGGTCAGCCCACCGAGATTGCTCGAGAGCGGGCGGGGGAAGGAAGTGGAGGTCGAGGACGACACGAGGGGTGCAGGGAGGTTGAATGGGGATGGCACGTTCGGCGAGGTCAAGGCGGACGACGACCAGCAGATTTTGTGCCCTCCTCATCGATGCCACCACCGCCTCCACGTCGCCAGGTGATCCCTCGTCCTGCCGCTCCTCCCCTCGTGGTGGGGGTGGGGCAGGATGCCACCGCCGCTATCCTCTACTTGTCGGGGATGAGCGGGCGTTGCCCATGTTCGGCGCCGCCGTCCATGGAGATTGAGAGGAGGATGGGACCCAATGACATGTGGGCCTCACATTTTTTATAAAAATGAAATTTATATTTTGCTTCCAATGCCACATCACCGCCATGTAGGACAAAGACCAAGTCAAACCAGCTATGTATGCGTCACGTCAACTGAAATCGTCGTCCAAACCACCTTGGGATCTTATTTGCACTGATTTTGCTAGTTGAGGGACGCGTCATATTTGGTTTTACGATCCAGGGATGAATTTCAGACTAGACGACAAATTAAGGGATCTAAAGTGAACTTATTCCTCAGAAGTCAGATGTGGTGTCACTCGTCGGATTGGAAAAATGGGCTTCTCAGCCCATTTCGATGTTTTGGGGGCTTTTGTCCCGGGAGTAGAGTTACAGCATTTTGGGCCGTCCGTGCCAACAGCAAGCGTGTGCTGGGGTAGAGATGGACCTGACCTGCCAGAGACTAAGCACACCTGGCCCAGCTTACTTCTGAAAGAAACACCCGGGGTCCAGCTTACGTAATTAGTGTTTAAAACCCTTCTCAAAAAAAAACGTAATTAGTGTTTAAAAAGGAAAAGAAAATAAAGCGGGAGCCAACATCCAAGTACGTGGATCTCTGGCCCATCCAAGGCCAAATCGGGATTAAATTACCTTTCCGGAGAAACACGCACGAGATACTCATTATCTCTGCATCAACAAGGAGGGAGCATCAAAAAATAAACTATGCTCACATCACATGTACATGGAGCCCAGCCCGTGCTGCCATTTGCATTTGAATACGGCGGGAGAGGGAACGAGGCGCGTCAGGTCAGGCACGGCGCCCACCGTATCGTCTCCGTCCTAGGCCGGGGTGAGTCGCCTGGTTTTGACGTCGTCGAGTTGATTTTGTTAATGGCATAATGCAGGGGAGGCCTTCCCAAGTGGGTAATCACTAATCAAGTCGCACCCATTAGACTAATGGCGACACGCACTCATACACACAATATATATATTTTTGCTGTCTCCTCGTACGTTTGACAATTGTACATACGGAGTAGATAAATTTGCCTTTTGCTAGGAGAGAGGGGTAGCCAGCTAGGAGTAGCTAGCTACTACGTACCACCCCCCAGAAATCGTCAGCTATGATGTAATCGACACCCTGAGCTTTCACTTTCCTGGACTTAGCTTGCACGGTAAAGAGAAGAAGAGAAAGGGCTAACGTTTCCCTTGTTTGCTAATTGGGGATTTGTTGGTCGGGTCAAAGTTAGTCCGTCGCCTTTGCCATGCTTCCACTTATAGAGTCCTCTTGTACTGCTACCACGTAGTACTGTGTGTGTAGTACAGGTTGTACTGTTCGATCAGCACGCACAATGCGTGCCATTAAATCTAATGAAAGCTAATCGCTCCGAAAATACATGAGGAACTTGATCCAACGCGATGGTTACCTCGTTCTCTTTGAAACGCAATAACTTCAGTTTTTTTTTATAAATATTTTTTACAAGAACCTAGCTATATATATTTGTTTTGTTTTTTCAGAAGAACTGGCCGGAAAAATTCCTGCGTTTCAAATACTTGCTCCTTGTGCAGATTAATGGCATATATATGCTGCTAGCTTTTATCTTACGTAATGGGTAATCGGATGAGATGACTCATCAAGCAAACCAACTAACCAAGGAAGTGGCATGTATAGAGGGAGGCGAAGCTGAAGAATTTTAACGACATTTCAGAACATATCGGTAACATATGATTTATATATACCCTGTACCGGGACATCGATCTGCTAAAAAACCGAATACCACAATGGCAAAAATGCCCAGAAAAGAAGCTGACGATCTAGCTAGCTGCTAGGTAAATACATAGAAATCCATCAAAATACGCATCTGAATATCTGATGTCATGGGTCACTACTATTTCTGCTGGGACGACAGTATATCCTGCATGTACTTGTCCGTCCGGTCGAGCTCCTCGAGCATGGCAGCCACCTTCCGGTCGGTCTCCGTCACCGTCTCGCTGAGGTGCTCGCTGAGGAGCCTCGCGTAGCCCATCTCCTCCTTCACCTTCATCCACTCCTTCCTCACCTTGGTCAGGTTCTTCTCCAGGTTGCGCTGGTCCTTGTTCTGGCTCCTGCAGCCGTGCGACCGGCTGCCGCCGCTGCTCGACGCCCCGTGGCCGGCGTCGTAGAATCCGAACGGCGACGACGACGCCGGCTGCGAGAAGTTCAGCATCCCGTTGCGCGTCCACCGTTGCATGATGCCTGTTATTCTTTGTCTGAATACCTCAGTTAATTAGCGGTCGACGATTTGAGTTTCAGTTAATTGCTACACACTGCTCCTTTTACGCCGCAAACTGCATTACAGTAGCACCAGGTGTTAGAAAATTTCTGCTATTTCATGCATTAGACATTAGTAAAGCTGTAAAGGGCATAACTTTTATAACAGACAAGGAAATGCACATGAGTAAGATGCATTATTGGTTCCATTTCAGCTTATACTGATGATTAGCGCATTCTGATTTCATATACCGATGGTTGAAATACTGATCATATCTGAAAGATCGGCATTAAATTCTTCAGTTTTGGAAATTCAACCGCAAGATAAACTCTATGGAATCGTGTTTTCGCCGGGCTGACTGAAGATTGCCGGCCGAGATTTTGTTAGATTGGGAAAGAAACAAAGGTTACAGAGAGAACTTCATGAAATTGTGGCAACATTGTCAGATGATCAACAACATGCCGTATAGTGCCGGAAAATCTTCTGCAGATCAAAGCTTCCTAGCTCCTTATTAGTTAGAGAACAGGTCAAGGACTTGTATTGAAACAGGAGCAGAATGACATTCATGAGTATTCTCCATTTTCTAGAAGCAGAAAAATGACACTAGCAAAAGGAAAATCAAATAAAAATGAAGAGCTCAGAAGAGAAGAAGCCACCTATATAGAGCTTACCTGATAAACCCTGCAAGATATGCAACTCTGCTGCTCTCTTCACTTCCTGAGAAAGACCTGCGTCTATGGTAATGGTATGGGCAGAACATATCTAGGGGCTCATAGCTATTTATAATCATGGCACAAGCTAGGTAAACTCTCACCTAATCCTTTGTCACCTCTTTGTCATTTGGCTATGGAAAGACCACAAATTTTCCAAGTCAAGGATGGACTAATTAGTGCAAATGGGTGCTAAAAGGAGGATGGCCAAGTTAGATGTATCCAGCTCATGTGATGGACATATTAGCATTATATTAATCCCGAGCGCGTGGCTGACACGGGAAGGCTTGAATGGTTCGATGCATAGCTAGAATCTTAGCCTCTAAATTACTGGCGAGGCACGTGGCAACCACAAGAATATTTGTTGTAAAAGAGCATTGCATCGTGTAGTACTAGGTGTGTGAGCACAAGGAAGACAGAGGGAATCAAATAGCCTGAACTGAAAACTCATCTAGGAGTATCTCTCTTTTTCTTTGTGTTACAGTTGGAGAGATTATTCCACTTGAACTTACCCTTTTGTTTTTATGTAATGGATATTAATGAACTTACAAGCGCCATTGTCATGGATAATAATATTATGTACTCTCAGAAATAAAATATGGTTTATGATATTACAGGCCCATTAATTCCCCCGCAAGAAGCACAAAAGATTGCAAAGATATCCAAGTGGTTGTTGTTTTCTGGTTTTTAGTTATGCATATGGGTGTTGTTTAGGGGGTATTAGATGGTACAATACATCCAGTATTCTTTGGATAAAGCTAAGAGTAATATACAGTTAGCGCTCCAATTCTTATTACATTCTTAATTTAGCAATTCTGCATATTGACAACAATCCCTTATCTGATTCCTATGGCTTCTGGATAACAACTGTAAATGAACATATACTGTTGTGATCTAAAGGGGCCGGCCTTGGTACTCTCTTTATCCTCATTTTATTTGATTGGCAGAGCTCCTGCCATTTCTTAAAAAAAAAACCATACGGATTCTGTAATATCAAGACATACAATATCCTGATATCCAAGCCAGAACAGTAATTAGTGACAATGCTTTTGCACATCCATGTCTATGAATAGGGAAAAAGATCAGCTTGATCTGTAGCAAGCCTCGTATCCAATTGGCGAAATATCCACACCAGCAGGCAGCAGAACACAGTTTTGCATACGTACATAACCCCAACTCTCTTTCAGTTATGTTTGTCCAACTCTTTCTTCATATGCCCAGTTTAGTCCATTTTATTGGGGTAGACTAGAAGTCCACCCGGAGCATTGCACCGTATGGCTATTCCAGCACGCACTGACCAGTTCAGACTTCAGAGCGTCCAACCGAAAGTTCAACAGCTTGCTCTTACCTTTCTGACAAAATAAATAACTCTTGCACACGGTGGAATCGTGGATGGTTGAATGAGCTAGCCACAAAGTCTGTAAGGCCACATTCATTTTCCAGAAAATCACTAATTCCACATTTTGCAACACCCACTTAGTAAGGATTTTTTTTAAAGAAATACAATACAACGCAGTCGCTCACAACGCTCGCACCCTTATCCCTATGAATGCGCACACACACGTACATCCTACCCCTATAAGCACATCCAAAAAGTGGATTGCTATATCTTAAAATTGATAAAATTACCACGGACATCTCGCTGTTGATGGGTGTATCGCCTATCACTGAAAGAATAATTAGCCGTAAATACAAACACCTGTGTCAAGTTTAGGACTTGAACTTGGGTGGGTAATGGGTTCCACCATAAGGAACAAACAAGTTGAGTTACATTCACTTCACCACTTATTAATCGGGAAACTATTTTAACAGCTCGAGTGGATGTCCACCCGTTTATTGCATGTCATCTAAATGGTTATGAAAAAAATTAAAAAAATATGAATAAGATAGATCAATATGTAATATATCAATCCACAAACATGCAAGTTAAAATTCAACTTCTACAGATTGTAACAAAAATAACAAACAAAACTCAAATTACTATATGTATATTTACAGTTAAATTTGTTATTTTTGTTACAACTTGTAGAAGTTGAATTTTAACTTGCATGTTTGTAGAGTGATATATTACATATTGATCTATCTTGCCAATTTTTTTGTGAAAATTTTCCATAGCCATTTAGTTGACATGCAATAAACGGATGGACATCCACTCGAGCTATTAGAATCCATCTCCCTGATTAATCCTAAAGAACTTAAAGGAATAATTTTAACTCAACTTGGAGTAAAGAAAACTACCGTGTTATGGACGTCAAGAAAAGATTGAAACTATTATATATTTATAATGCCTGGTCATGTGATGAATGTTGTTAACGAGCCGAGCTTGAGTGAGCCCAATTGTTAGGATCAAGCTCAGCGCAAAACTTAAGCCAAGCCTACTATGAACTTCAAGCTTCCAAGCAAGCTCAAGCTCAACATATTTGAAATCTGAGCTTGGCTGAAAGCTTGTTAATGAGATAATATCTGTATCCAATAGAAAAAAAATCCATGATAAAAAGGAGGAAAACCACAATTTAAATTTTAAAATTAGCAAACAAGAAAAATGCTATGAAAGATATTTTACACTCCTACATACTATTTTATTATGCAGATAAATACTAGTTTTGTACCTAATCTTATAGTTTATTTGCATCACACAACCAAGCTCATGAACTTTTGCATATATATGCTCATCCTAGCTCATTTGGAGCCTTAGCCACGCCCACATGAGCTAAGCTCGAGGACATCACGACTCACGAGCCTTAAACTATTATACATGTAACAAGCAAACCGACGACTAATCTAGATATATCATAAGAATCCAGCTGTCCCAACTTATATATAAAAATAAGCCGACCAAGAGTAAACATAATGTTTCCATAAACCTCACGCCAGCCACGACCTCAAACATATTATTATCTGTTCTTCAAAGATAAAACTTTTTAAACATAAGGCGCGCCAAAACCGCGAGCATATTATTATCTGCTGTACAGGGAGCAGACGACTTTCATCAAGAAAGGGCCACCACACACCACGGTGAGCTTTGGCGTTGGCTTTGGCGTTGGCGTGGTAGTTGGTACGTGGAGGCGTGGAGCAGTTCACCTAAAGCATCCCGGATTACGTGCTCCGAGATGGAAACATGGCCGAAATATTCGTCGCGATGGGAATAAACTACCCGGTGGGCGCGTGGCCGCCATGCGACAACGCGATCTGTCCGGGGGATCGCGACGAATCCGACGTGCAAGTTGGGGGGCTTAAATTAGCAAGAGGCGTGTGGCCGCCACGAGAGATAGAGAAAAAGAGGGATCCGGTGGAAGAGGCCGGCACGATGCCGTTGGCACATGCGACTTTCGCGCCGCGCGCGCGAGGTCGTCTCTCGTTCGTACCCCAGTTGGTACAAAAACCGCGGTGGCGCGTGGCGGCCACAAGAATCCAGAAAAAGAAGTTGGGAGAGGTTGGGAAGAACCGACGAGAGGAGGGAGACGAATCAGACGATCCCGTGGGAAGCGTAGCCTTCATGGGCTCATGGCTCGCAAAACCAGCGGCCTCTCTCTTTTGGCTTTCAGGACTCCAAAAGAAAATGAAATCTTTCGTCGAGAGATCCATTCCAGTTGAATTTCAGACTTTCAGTTAGGCTTTTTGGTTTTCTTCTTTGAGAAATGCTCTCCAGTTCAATTTGCTAAGATCTGAATATTGCGTACGGTTGTAGCGGAACTTTTATTGGTAGTGGAGTAGTATTATACCATTTTAATTTGTAGTGAAAGCAACCGTGTTTATCTTTCTTTTGTCAACGTTCCAGCTGTATCGTCCTTTTTCTTATATTATTCTACCTTCCATTTGTGCAACCGGGTCACTGGATTGATAATTTTCTATGCTATAAGATCGAGAAATCAGGTGCAGAATATCTCGAGGCTAACAGATCATCAGATCTGTGATCACCAGATATTTTCGTTGGATCGGTCGAGTGCTTGTTTTTTTACACCTCAAAAGTAATTTTCTGTAGTGTAAGTTTCGCAAGTCTGTAACTTTAATTCTATATAAAGAAATCTGAACTTTAGTGTGGAAGAAGAAGGCCTATATTCCTTATGAAGATGGGCTTTCGTGGCATAAATAGGCCCAAGATGAACTGGGCCTTTTACTGGACTCTCTGAGGGGGCATATGACAATCTGTGCACTGTTCTTGTTTTCTGTGTTCTAAACTGTTCTTTTCCATTGGTACAAGTTCCTTTGACCATTGGCAATCCCGGCTGCACCTTCAACGCATTCTTTGGCATTTGCTGGCCAATCAACCAAAAACAATTCAACGTGCCAGTGGCACACCTGGATATTCGCAACCAAGAGCATCAGCTAGTTTCTGAACTGTCACAGAGACACAGACAAATCAAAAACAAACGGGAGGCAAAGTGAGAAGGGAATCGGTATACAATAATTAACACCAATATTCTCATTTGAGACCATTTGCCTGGTCTTGCCTCATCACAAATTCACAACAACCATTACACTTACACCCCCTGATTATTCCCAGTTCGGTATCCAGGGATTCGCTAGTTAATAATCAGCCACTAGGTACAGTACTACTGGCAAACCAAGAGTAGTTAATTAAACAGCTAGCTAGCACAACCCCTTGATTATTTTCTTTTTCATCTCCAGATAGATCGATTTCTGCGTCACACGCATCATCACGCCGACGACGAGATGTTCATGCCGTGAAAGATCGTCGCGAACAGCCGGAGCACGGCGTAGGTGATGAGCATGGCGAGCCAGCCGCCGAGGAGGACCCTAGTGCCGGACCTCACCATGTTGGCGCCGCCGAGGTACCCGCCCGCGGCGCCGAAGCCGGCCAGCCCGACGCTGCTCGCGGCGCACACGACGCCGACCCTGGGGCCCCACGGCTTGATGAACCCGCTCGTCAGCAACGGCAGGAGGCCGCCGATCGCGAACGCCAGCGCCGACGCGAACGCGGCCTGCGTCGGGCTCGGCAGTTTCTCCCTCGCGGCCGCGGCATCGGCGCCGTCGATGTCGCCGTCGCGCTCGATCTGCGTCACCTCGATGTCGTACTGCGCGTACACGGACACGAACTCGCCGATGGCCATGCTGCACGCGCCGGCCACGAGCCCGGCCAGCCCGGACACGAGCATGGCCTTGTTGTTTTCGTTCACGGCGCCGATGCCGATCATGAGGGACGCCACGGAGACGAGCCCGTCGTTGGCGCCGAGGACCGCGGCGCGGAGCCACTGCGCGCGGGCCATGTAGTTCACTCCTCGCCACCGTCCCCTTCGCCACCGCCGCCGCCGCCGCCGACTCCTCTCGGGACGACGTCGGCCTCGGCCGCCTTCAACGACGTGTAGTGAGGAGCCGCCTCGACGTCGACGACGACGACGGCGGCGGCTAGATCCTCCTCCTTGGGCAACCTGCACGTGCAGTTAGGAGTGGCGGCTCCGGCATGGACGTGGGAGCTGTGGTGAGGATCCATGGATACGAAGCACAAGCAAGCTACCGGAGGCTGGGCGAATCAGCTGATCGAGACGGGAGGAGAAGATCGATCGAGAGGAGTGTAGCGTGTGCGGAGAAGATGGATGGGGATCGCAGTGTGGCGGCCACACGCCTCGGCCACCGGCATTTATAGGGGTGACTCGGGTGAGGCCGCTAGGGTTGGCGAAATGGAGGGCCCAGATCGCTCGGCGTGTGCCGGCCACGCGCCCCTCGCTGACTTGTGGATCGGATGCCGACGTGGACCGGGACCACTTTGAGATAGACCCGGACGACGATGTGACAGTGACAATGCGTTTCTCGCCGTCCGTCTCGTTTGATCCCCTAACCATCGTCTCGTCGTGTACAAAGCATATGTGCCTCACGGCTGGCTGCAACTCCGTATTATGTCATCACACAATACTCACATGGTTCGATAGATGGGGTGGATCGTGCTGGACCGTCAGGGTGTTTGAGGGTGGGTGAGATGAGATGGTCCCCAAAAGAAAATATTCCTTACAAACACACCTTAAGTAGTGGTGAACTAATCCAATCCGTCCCCCTCTCTCTCTCACTAACATGTGGGTTAGGCTGCATCTCTACATTATGTTATCACGCGATACATACTTGGTTCGATGGATGGGATGGGTCGTGTTGGATTGCAAGGGTATTTTGTTTGAGGATGGGTGGGATGAGATGGTCCCCAAAAGAAAATATTCCCTACGAACACACCTCAAGAAGTGGTGGACTAATCCAACCCACCCTTCTTTCTCACTAACATGTGGGCCTGGTTGTATCTCTATATTATGTTATCATGCGATACACACCTAGTTCGATGGATTTGATGGATCATGCTGGACCGTCAGGGTGTTTGTAGGTGTTTTGTTTGAGCATGGGTGGGATGAGATGGTCCCCAAAAGAAAATATTCCATATGATCACACCTAAGTGGTGGACTAATCCAATCCACCCCTCTCTCTCACTAACATGTGGGCCGCACCCGGTCGATCCCTTAATAACGTAGGATCACCCCACATACCATCCGATTCCTAAAAAATGCAGGACCACTACACGCTCATACCAAATAGATGATATGATTATTCCATTCAAAAAGAGGGATAGTCTAAGTCATTCTATCTCATCTCCAAACTACACAATGATCACCCCATTATATGTATATATCAATATGTGCTGTGTATTATTAAGTTGTTAGTAGTACGAATGAAGTACTGTAAAATATTGAAAGAAAAATAAACAAATGTTTGTTGACGTTTAAAATAACAGTTTACAAATGCACAAACCGAACATGCACATGCATGCTGATGATGATGCATAACGAAAGATCCGATCACAGAACACCGATCTGTGCGTGATACACGCGTGGTTTACACTCCACCCCGGTTATATGTTAGATTAATTACGTAGTAGCATTCATTTCGATCTAAAGATAGTGCGGATTCACGATTAAGGAAGAATGAATTGAACAAAGCAAGCACCACACGCACAGCTAGCACACACGGTGGCTCTGAGCTTTTGGGCATTGCAAGCGCCGGGAACAAGGGACAAGCATAGCAAATATTACTCCTTACTAGCATATTACTCCTTAGTCCTTACTTAGCATGCAAGATCGGCTTGCATTGGGGCTCTAGCTAGCAAGCTATAGCCAACTCTGGGTGGGAGGCAGAAAAAAAGAAAATTTTAAGATTCGATCTTGACGCATTCTTTTTATTAATCTGAAGAATGTGCTGCGGCCACTGGCATAAAAAGATTAGACAGGCGCGTGGCCACCACGGGTAGTGCATATTTCGTGGAGTGAACAACCGGAAAGGGAAAACCGCCATCACAGCTGTGGTCATCATCAGTGTCTTCAAGTGCACAATAGTACTTACTGCTTACTATATTTCATTTGGTAGAGAGGAACTTAATTAGCTCAATTGATACTACTAGGAGATATCGGTGTATATTGTGGCTTAATTGCGCCGTTTCTTTTCCCTCTTTCTGTTCAATTTTTGGCGTCTTTCCTTTATTTACAAAAACTAGCGGGGATGGATTCTAATAGCTCGAGTGGATGTCCACCCATTTATTGCATGTCAACTAAATGGCTACGAAAAATTTTCAAAAAAAATTGGCAAGATAGATCAATATGTAATATATCACTCCACAAACATGCAAGTTAAAATTCAACTTCTACAAGCTGTAACAAAAATAACAAATTTAACTGTAAATATACATATAGTAATTTGAGTTTTATTTGTTATTTTTGTTACAATCTGTAGAAGTTGAATTTTAACTTGCATGTTTATGGATTGATACATTACATATTGATCTATCTTATTCATATTTTTTCAATTTTTTCATAACCATTTAGATGACATGTAATAAACGGGTGGACATCCACTCGAGCTGTTAAAATAGTTTCCCAAAACTATCTTTTTGCCTCAGTGCGTCGAATGAATAAAAAGTAAGTTACACACTTACAGTACTGGGCTTTCTTTAGAAAGCTAGATGGAAATGATCTTTGTTGGTTAAAATATACAAACAATAGTTAATAATCCTATAAATTAAGTACTGCATGGAAATTAATGAACCACCTATAGGTGCGAACTTTTTTCTTTGTAAACATGCATCCTGTGGAGTGAGAACGACATAACAACATTAGCATGCCTATAAATGTATATCTAGCTAAGCTAGGAAATATCTTCTATATGGTGCAGAAATGGATGTGATTGAGCAGAGCATACCACCACCGCACCACATCTAGGTGCTAACTCTTTTCTTTTTAAAAGTGCAAAAGAACCACAAATGATGCACTATAACAGCAAAAGTGCCTGTGCTCATAAGTTTGATATGCAATGTAAGAGGTAGGAAAAAGTGCATATGAACGAGAAAATGCTGCTTTGTTGGGTATTAGTGGTACACATCAATAAAATTAGCACATATGGATCAGAGAAAAGAGGTTATTGGGTGCTCCACTAGGAAATTGGAGGAAGCTGAAAGGAAAATGATCCTTTAGTTAGATTGAGAGGGACATGGAGGGAAAACGTATTGGAACTTCCAAAGGAATGATAGAAAAAGGTTGGAGGAAATGCTTCAGTTGGATGCCTTCATGTCATCATGTGCGTGATTTGGTGAAGAGTACTTAATTAATAAGTTTATTGGAAGGACTTGTATTGTCTCGAACTTTTATATTGTGTCTTCCAATTCAAGCACCTTGTATATGAATATTTCCCCAGCAAAATTCCATACGACCTCAAGGTAAATATGACAGAGTAGTTAATTAAGAACCGGCCGTATAGCTATAATTCAACCACGTCGACGTCACTGCGATAACAGGTTTGGTTAAAGAAAGATATTCAGTTGAGCATAAACCAACACGGAGTACACCACGTACACGTACGCATGTCTGAAACGTCAGACGGATTCAATAATAGCAGCGCGATGCCGAGAAATTGTTTGCGTGCTCGATCCACCAATCAGCACTACGGTGCCGAGAATCGCAAGCTGGGCAGCAGTAGTTTTAGCTAGAATTTCATCTACGAATACATTATAATATAGATTTATACATAGCGCTTCTAGTTCCATCCATCCTTCTCTAGGAATGAAATGAATAGCATGCAGTTTCGCACCGATCATATCCTAAAGCTAGTGTGCGCGTACGTCCGTAGTGGTGCAGCGCTCGTCTGACGTTTGCGAGCTCAATCAGTCCGGCCGTTTGCGCTTGGTCGGTCCGGCGAGTTGTGGAGCAAGGCGTGGCCAGATTGGCTCGGCCGGCGAGAGGAGCTAAGCTCGCTTTTCTAGACACGTCTAGTTGTCTTACATAGTCACCAACGAGACCGTGGGCATCGATCAGGCGGCACCGATCTAGGATAGCCCGCAAAGCCCCAACGCGCTCGCACGAGCTGTGCGCCACCGCGCGCCTCAGGCCTCATGCGTGTCTCGGTTCTTTTACGCGAGAAGACGTAGTTTGGACGCCTCGCGCGCGCGCGGCACATGCACGCGCGGGCGAGGCCGCGGGCGGGTGGTGTGGGTGTAGCAGCCTGGACGGGGCGGGCAACGCGTGAGAGTAGCTAGGCTGGCAGCAGGGGCGGAGTATGGGTGTGGGCTGTGGCGTGCCGGTGCCCTGCGACTCTGCGAGTGCAGCAGGGTTACGTGACCGGGGGCGTGCGGTAGTGTAACAGCGGGGAAACGTCCGGGCACTGTTTTATCGATCATCGATGATGCTGTGGGTGTGCCCGGTCGACGGAGTAGAGGCCACGCGCGCGCGCGCCCGTGAATCGAGGCGTGGAGCACTGTCCAGTGTCCGCAGCGCTGCACGACGGGCTTCATCTTGCAAGCCAGCCGCCGCCGCCATCCCCCCTCCGATCCGGTCTTCCCCCCTTCCGTGCCAAATTGCCAATAATCCACTTTAGATTGTACTGCTCCCTCCATCTCTAAAATAAGGGATTTTGGTGGGATGTCACACATCACATGTGTGACATCCCACCAAAATCCCTTGTATTTAGGGGCAGAGGGAGTATAAGGCTATACCTCTATGATTTTGCACCTTTTCAAAGAAAAGAATTTTTACAACTCTATGCATGTGCGCTCGTTTGTTTCTTATTTTTCAGATACTGATAATAAAAAAGCTGTACCAAATTCGACCATGAATAGTGTTGACCGTAACAAAATTCGTGGGTTTTCTTTTCGCAAGCGTAGCTCACTGATTAGGTTCATTGTGATGAAAGCAGTCTACTCGGATTCAAGTCCTAAACTTGACATAGTTGCTGCTCGTATTTACGGCTAATTATTCATTCAGTCGTAGGCGATATACCCATCGATAGTTAGATGCTCGTGGTTACTCTGTTACACTACTATAGAAAGACACTATAGGTGCTAGAATAGCTAAAACCGACATCGATAGTATTTTTTCACACTTACACGTGCTCATTGGGGGGGGGGAGCAGCAAAAACCGACACCTTTGTGAATAGATAGGTGCCGGTTCTATATAAAAACCAACACGTAAAATATTAGTATTGGTTTATTCAAAAGAACCAGAACCTATAATATATTATAGGTTCTGGTTTTTAAGAACCAACACCTACAATCATATAGGTGTCAGAATTTTAAATAAACAGACACCTATTAAAAAAATTGGTCGGAGC